GAAGCTGCAGGCCTGAATGTACTGAATGTGTGTGTGTGTGTGGGTGGGTGTGTCTGTGCAAAGTGACAAATGCAGTTGGAGATGGTTCAGGACCTATTTGCCTGCCAATAAAGACTTGTAAGTTATGCTGACTCAAAACACTGGCCTCTTGTCTCATAACAAATTAGCCGCAGCCAAACGGCACTCTGATTTAGTGACGCGACTTCAACATGACCTCACTGTACTTCTCTGCTGCCTGTGTGTCCATATTGGGTTTTTTCTTTAGTGCACATCTTTGCATCCGTGTCAGAAGGATGTGGCCACTCCTTTTTTCCGCAGGACTGCTGCTTATAGCTGTTCTCTAAACAAGCCCAGTCCTGTTTTGTGTTGCAGTTAGCAGACCTTTGATTTCTGGTTGGTTAATTGGTCAAAAGTTCTACGGAGAAAGAAAATGAGGCAACTTGCTGACAAGTGAGAGCATGTAGGAGCGTTGTAGATCTGCAACTTGGTCTGCAGACATGTTCACCTGCTGAAAGCTGTACAGACAAATTAGGGACAATACTTAATCTTTAGGCTCAGCACTAAATATGGCTTACTAATGAATAGCTGCAGCTTTTTTTTTTTTGCACAATCCACGTCTAAGCTCACAGATTTCATTTTCCCAGAATCACCGGCTCCTATCTTGTTCTCAGGATTCCCAAAAGTGACCTGAAGATGGAGCTGAGTGAGACATAAAACAGTCGAAAAGCCAACTTTCTTAGTTTTACACTAATCTTAGCTTTAGTGGTCATATTCCTACAGCAAATGTGAGCAATGCTCAGATTAATCTGTTCTCCGTATTTGCCGTTTTGGAAAATGCAGTTAAAACGAAATGTTACACATCGTAGGAAGTTTTTCATGACTTTTTCCTGTGATTTGATGAGCTCTGCAACCAGCTACGTGTTGTTTTAATCTAAAATAAGCTAGATGATCTAATCCAAACATCTGACCTGCAAACAAAAGTACAGGAAATGATAGAAACAACATCATCAGGTGATTTATGACTTAAATTGTCAGCTGAGGGGTAACAAGGAAGTCATAACTGTTATTCCCTCACACACCCACATGCAGCACGCTTCCAAAAATAAACACAAATACAGGTGAAAGCGCTGATGCTAGTCCTGCTGCACTTAGTTTTAGGATAAGAATAAAAGGAGAAGGTGTCGGGGCAGAAGAGAGGTTAATGTAGCACCCCAGAGACAAACAAACGACCAGAACAAGGTGTATTCTGATGCTTCCTGCTGACAAATATAAGTATATGTTCTAATAAATGCAAAAACAAATGACTAATTTATGTCAAATCCAGATTTAAGGTAGCAGAGTTTATTTAAAAGTGCTTTCCAGAGAGAAAAAGTACACAAAATAAGTGATTTATTTTGTTTTAATGTGTGCGTGTTGCCAGTGTGTAGAGATATGTGGATCGGATGTTAATTGTGGTTGAGCTGCAGACAATTGATGCTAGCCACGCAGTGACAACCTGATGACTACCCATCAGAGCTTGCTTTCTCCTGCTGTCTTTTAAATCACATTGATTGGCAGCCAGGAGGAGTGTGTGGTTGCACAGTTATTTTAAGTGGTTCTCAGATATGAATATGCATGCAAACCTCTGCCCGCGCGCGCTAGAACACACCGCCGGGTCCTGATGAACGGATGTGATGCTGGAATAACCAGCTGGGTGCAAATGTGGGATTTGTGCTGGCTGGGAGTGTGCAGATTTTCTCAGGTTACTAACTGGTATTGAGCACTGGGGACGTGCACACATTTGTGTGTTCCAGTGTGTCTCATATTCCTAACGTAATATTGGTCAGAGGCTCAGGAGATGTGCACGTGTGAGAATGTGCGCAGCAGATATTGAGAGCTCTGCATGAATTTAAATCAATGAGCTCGCGGAGTAACCTTTTGTATATCCAATCCGCATCTTTCCATCGCTCGTTATTAAATTATCCCCTAATTGGTCACGCAACAAAGGCAGCTGATGAAAAAGACAATTTCTTGCTTTTAATTGGGCATTTCACGTGCGCTTGGTGTACACCTGTGTGCAGCTGACTCGGCTCGCTACGCCTGTGTGTGTGTGAGTGTGTGTGTCTTGGGTGTAATGAGAATAGGACATTAGCAAGGGCTTGGCAGACGCCATCGCAATCAGTTCCACTCTTCACAGTGAAGGAGGGAGCGAGGTTGGAGAATTAATCCCAACATTAGGAAAATCCGGAGGAGAAACATCTCAGAAACAAACGGGACGAAGCTCCTCCGGTCTCCTGACGTGACTTTAGTGGAGCCAGCTCTGGTGACGACATATGGCTGGCATGTTTTTTGGTTTGCAGTATGATGAGTTCATGCATATGTCAAACATATGTTCCCCTGATGGGAATCCAACTCTTACAGTTTTCCTTCTACGTTCAGTTTCTTCACAAGTTGCCCTTGATGTTCCTTGTTTTCGGTGTCTTCTGCCCCGTTTTGGGCTCACCAGCGGCGTGTTTCTCACCAAAATAGTCCAGCTATTGTTGCCGGGAGTGGAGCTGAATAGTGAAGCTCATTGTGTTGTGATGGGAGGCAGGGGAGTGAACAGGCCATAAACACCGGCCGTATAGCACCCAGGGGTCGGGAAAAGGTGAAGCCTCACCCTGCTTTTCTCTTCTCCCCCTTTTTCTTTTTCATTTTTGTCTCTCCATCCTTCTTTATCTCATCAACTCCTCTCCCTTTATTCCCTCCATCTCTCTGTCAATCTTTTTCTGTGTCAGCTTATTAACGGTCACAGCAAGAGTGTCTGGTTTGCAGAGCAGAGCCTCTTGCCCCTTTTTTTTACCCTCCACTCTCTCACTCCTCCTTCCCTGCTTTTCTCCTGCTCTCCATCTCTCCGTTCCCCTGGCTGTTATTATGAGAGGCATTTTATCCTTTGTTCCAGACCCCATGGTGCATCTGGCCTCAGATATGGGGACGACAGGGACAGGAAACCAACGAGTTTTTCAGAGGAGGAGGAGGAGGAGGAGGGGGTTTGATGGGTCGGACTGGAGATTCACTGCTCTGAGTTGGACCGCCGTTTTCCACCATAGAGGGAAGGAATGATAAGGACGGAGCGAGCAGGAGAAGGAAACAGATACAGAGAGGCAGAGTAACTGTTGTTTAGGAGCAGTGTTTGTGACACACTTAAGCTCTCGTTATTTACACGTCGCCTTAGAGTTCACCCCAGGAACACAACCTCCTGAGAAGTCCGACCCGCTTGCTAAAGCTACCAGTGCAGCTGAGGATCTGTCAGGAGGCAGAGGGACACCAATAAAGAAAAGGAAGAAAAGAAAAGCACAACAGAGGAAGAACAGATGCAATAAGACGTTGCTGAAAAAGAGGGAGAGGTCAACAGTTAGTCAGTGTTGGCCTCAAGCTGACCTCCTTCTTTAGCAAAGGGTTTGGAGTGCAGAGGAGAGGAGAGTTGAAGGAATGCTCGAGACTCCTCAACCCCTTTTGCCCTCACTCCCTCGCTCCTCCTCTCATATCTCCCCCAGCAAAACAGGGTAGCGGGGGAGGAAGGGAGGGAGAGAGCATTGGTGATAAAACTCCAGACGTTCCCTCATTTGATGGTGCTCTGCCATGTCAGTGCATTCTTGCATTCCTCCTTTGCTCTTTCTATTTCGCCCCCATCCCGAAATTCCAAATCAATGTATTTTACTGTAACAAATATACAACAAAACTGTTAAAACTCAACCTTCAAGGATGTTTTTAACCATCTACCTGAAAAAAAAAGTATCTTCAAAACAGCGTGACATTAGCCACCCATGGTTTTGCCCAGTCCCTCTGTAGCATTTTATATTTAAGACATATAAAAATCAAACAATTCAGTCCATCTGTTTGGATTGAAACAGATGCAATCCGGGTTCAACCCTTTCTTTCTCACCATCCCTTGAACTAATAAATGCTGTTTTCCAGCTTTTAAAAGTCCAGCAGTACTATTGTTCTCCTTAAGTTCAGCAGCTAATGCTCCCCTTTTCAAAGATAAAATAGAAGTGTCCGGTGGTGCAACAGCAGGAACACATAAATCAAGTCAGAAGCCCCCAGAGTCCTCCCTCCTCAGGGTCAGAACGGGCCAAGGGGTCATTTCAAAAGGGGTTAGCCTGAGCAAGGCCAGAGCGGGCATTAACGGGTGTGAATACATGCAGTGTGTGTGTGTGTGTGTGTGTGTGTGTGTGTGTGTGTGTGTGTGTGTGTGTGTGTGTGTGTGTGTGTGTGTGTGTGTGTGTGTGTGTGTGTGTGTGTGAAAATGACTAAGAAGCTGATTTAAATATGGGTGATGGTGTGTTTGTGCTCAATAAATGGATTGACTGTGCACTTTTATTAGAGGTCATGGAATGAGAGACCCCCCCCCCTCCCCCAACACACACACGCACACACATACACACACACGCACACACATAAACACACACACACACCTGTCGTGGCAAAGTATCACCCAAAACAATGCCTCCCGCTGATGGCGACGCGGCGTGTTTCTGTCAGCAACACTCTGCCGCACCGCCGTGCTCCATGCCGAGCGAGCGCGTTAAACAGTCAGCAAACGAAGCTCGTTGTGAGGTGGAACGTCTCCAGTAAAACAAGATGGGCTGAAACGTTTCAGGCAGCCGTAGAAAAACCCCCGGCTAAGCCTCGCCCCACAAAGACCCCAGTGTTCAGGCTGACTGTTGGAACAGGTTTACACACGTTGAGGAGTTCTGACTTCTCCCGGTTGTTGTTCTTAGTGACTTTCGCTGTAGCTTCATGGCGGCTTCACTGGGGCTCAGTGGTGCTTATGGGAGAATAATTACTCCTTATCACTGTTATGGTTAGCTGAAAAAAGAGAGGCTGCTTTGGAAATGTGGTTGTTTGTGTGCTGGATGCCAAGATCTCTGAGGTATTAGTCAGCATTTTTCCTTAATCTTGTTTTGAGTGAAGCTCTGACTGCTTTTTTGTCTCTTCTCCTTCCTCTCCTTTCCCCCTCCACCTTTCACCCCCCTCAGGTTCATTAACGCCAGAAGGAGAATAGTGCAGCCCATGATCGACCAGTCAAACCGAGCAGGCAAGTCTCCCATAGTAACTGTTTTCAAGTCCAGCAGGCATAAGCCGTCCACCCTCCATGCACCCAGAAGCCTCTCCGCTGGTAAATACAGGACTGATGCTTCCTTCTTGGAATGTCCGAATCCTTCAGGGACTTCCCCCATCTCTATCATTACTGACCATGGCTACGGAGCCAAAACATTACAACATTAACAGCAACCATTAATCAACCCTCACATGTCCGTTGAGGTGAAAACCTATTAATTACAGGGTACAAGCCTTTGGTCGACAGTGAATAACGAGGAGTGATATTTTTGTGTGTTATCCTGTAAATAAAACTTTGTGTTCTGAGTAAAGTTTGTTCCTAACCCCTCAGTACCCTTTTTACCAACCAGGGAAATCAAATTAAGCTCCGTGGCTCAAACCGTAACAAAATAAATAAATAAATAAACGCTACAGCCTTTGGTTTTTAGGGATGACCTTCGATTGGCCTTTTGGCTCCAGACCTGTTTTTAGCCCCATCCCCTCCTCAACCCGGCTCGAGTGAGCGGTCCCCCTGGTGCATGGCTTGGTTTGGACTGCCGTAAACTTTATTACCTGTAATAGAGGTCAGAGGTCAGGGTGGCATTAGGAGAGCGTAGTAAAGTTCAAAGGCGTTCAGTGGGGGCTGAGGTCTTGCTTTTGCTTGACTGACCTCCAAACAGCCTAAATCAAAAGTAAGTGGTTCTCTATGAGAGCAGAACAATGGAGGGAAACCAAAATAATAGGAACCATATCAGGTTTCGCTTCTCCTTGCTGCTTAGTTCGAAGCAGCGTTTATGAGATAAAGCATTTAGATAGCAGCCGATTCTGGGACAAGTTAGAATGAAGGTTTGATGAAAGCTGGTCAGAGCGTCCACCTGGAGTTCATCGAGGGTCTTTGATCATACATGCAATTATACATGGAGAGTAGCTGCAGCTACGCTAAAAGCTCTGCAGCAATATGTGCCAACGTGTCTATGAAATATTTATCAGGGGAGCTGGATGCTTTAAACTTGTCCATCAGGATTAAATCGATGAAATGTTCTGTATAAACCGTACGGATGCTCTCAAACCTCGGTGTTCACCTGTTTGCTGGCTGCACAAACAAACGCTGCTTAACCACAAACACCTGTGTGTGGACTTGGATCAACAATCAACACAAAATTCATCAAAAAATAAGAAATCAATAACTCCAGTCTTTCTGGCGTAGTTCAGGTCTGCATGCTTAAATAATTACATTTAAACCAAAGTCCTTATGCGTCTTAAGTGTATATTAAACTCCTGAGCCGATCCCTATTAGAGCGTTGAGCTGCATTAAAGTCTACCAGGAGCTTAGAGTGGGAATCCGGTTGGAGACGTGGAGCAGAGTGACGTTGAGAGACTTTGGTGGCTTCCTGTGCGTGCACCAGCCAACAGATGATCCCGCTCCGGCCACTGAGCTTTAATTAAAAGGACTAATTGACCACTCTGTTCCCTCCCTCCGATCCCTCTATCCCTCCCTTCTTGTCTTCTCCGCCATCCACAGTAAGTCAAGGAGCTCCCTACAATCCAGATGGCCAGCCAATGGGGGGCTTCGTCATGGACGGCCAGCAGCACATGGGAATCAGACCACCTGGTAAGGCTTTCTCTGCGTGTCTGTCCCTTTCTTTCCCCCTCGTCCTTCCTACACTACTTATCTTTCCTTGTGGTCTAGTTTTCATGTCTTGACCAATCAGCTTTCTTACTTTCTCATCTCCTCATCCCATTTTTGTCATCCTCCCTGTGTCTTTAGATTTACTTCACGCACATCGTCTTCCTCGTTGTACCATAATGCTGACACACATTCACTTATTTGGACCGATATGCTGATAACAAAGACACACACACAGTGTTTTCTCCCCTCACAGAACAGGTGTGCTCACTCACATTAAACCGCTATCTTCTTCTTCACTCCCACTCCTTCAAACAGCCCCTCTCTCACGCCATCGGGGTTTAATCTCAGAGTTTGTCCTTAAGCTCTCCTCCTCCTCTCGTATCCCCTGTTTTCTGGGATTCTCTTAAGTCTCTAACCCAACCTCACCCTCCTCTCAGTCAGGCGGTTTGGATAGACGACTTAACCACCCTCAACATTTTCACACACCTCTACCCAACAGATCTCGAGGGCTTTGATGCTGTTCTGTGTGTCAAATTAGCTTCACGGTAAAAATAAAAGAAAAGTGATTGTGCTGCTTCTTCTGGTTTTACTGGAATAAAAACCTCTAAAGGACGTAGTTTTTAAAATTTCTTTTTTATATTGTTTTATTTTCCAGGGCCAATGGGTGGGATGGGCATGAACATGGGCATGGAAGGTCAGTGGCACTATATGTAGCCCTGCCAGAGTCTGACCAATCACAACACAAAGGGAAAAGTAAGTATGTTCTTAAAAACTTAATGGAAATACTTCTCAGATATAGTACTTTTAATAGGATATTATTTTCATCGTGCGTTTCTAGCATTTAATTTTAAGATCTTTTGCCACATACATATAGTTTTCTTACATGATGAAGCTTTCCTGAACCAACAGCTTTTCTCAGTCAACGCTAAAATATTCCAGAATGATTCATTTTGATAGAAACGAGTCGGCAGATCCTGTTCTTCCCAAGCAGATTTACTTCTGTTACTTTTTTCTCCGACTCTCCCTCCCTTGTCTGCTGATAAGAGCCTTTGATCACATCCGTGTAACTCTTTGTGTTTGTAAAGTCTGTGCATGTGCGTCGCTGCATGGATCTCTCGCACGTCCAAAAGCTACAAATCCAAACGCTTTCCACATCAGTCAGAGGGGAGGAGGGAGAAGCAAACCAGAGACAGAAGACAAAAAAAATAATGTACAAAAATGGTTATTATTGATAATCAATGGCAAAGCGCTTAAGTGTCAATATATGTAATGAGAGACAATTAAGGATTTTGTTGGCTGGCTTGGTGCTTGGGTCACATTAAGACGGGGCGCAGAAAGGGAGAGAAGAGGAGAGGGGCAATGAGGAGGAAAGAAAGCAGGGATGGGCTGGGACAGGGGGTGGGTGGGGAACCCAAGGAGGAAGGGCAGGTAGAACGTTACTATGGTAACAGACTGATTGGCAAAAATGTAAGCAGTCGTTGCCGGTGCAAGGAGAGGGAGAGAAGTGAGCACCCCTTAAGTGTCATAAATCTGCCGGGTTGCTGTTGATGCATGAGCTACATTAATACACACTTGCTAACCAGCTACAGGATCCCCCAGCACACACACACACACACACACACACACACACACACACACACACACACACACACACACACACACACACACACACACACACACACACACACACACACACACACACACACACACACACACAGTCGCCCTCCCTCTGTGGTTTTTCTCACTGTCAATTTTCCTCCTCCATCTCTTTCTCGCAACACCTTTTCTCCCTTTCTTCTTTCTCTCACTTCTCTCCCCCTGCTCTTTCTTTCCCTCCCTCACTCTTGCCTCAGGGCAAAACAGACTCCCACATAATTCCGGATGTACACAGGCTCTGGTGTCACAGTGCACCGTGCGTCGGGTCCAACCGCGCTCAAACATCATTGTTCTGTACTGAATACCTCTGTAGCTGCATGTGCACCACACAAAATTTATAGATTAAATGTGTGGGTGTTTGCAAATGTACAGCCATGCAGGTCTGCATCACTGTATGTGTGCATGTGCATGTGCATGTGTGTGTACGGTAATAGGATTACTCCTGGCACAGAGACGGGACACAAACTAGTGCAAAATGGAGGAGGTAGCCAGCAGGGTATGGAGCTTAGCTGGGCCTAATTGACTAGATCCATATTAAATATGCCATCACCAGAGGTGTGACCAATGGATTTGACTTATTCAGTTTACAAAAATAGGGACCATTAACCCACCACACGAAGTGCGTGCACGTGCGAGTGCACCGAAGTGAAAATGTGCCGCCCTTGTTTCCGCCATAAGTGTCAAGAACAAAAACAAAAGGCGAACAATCTTTCATGGAATGACATCTTTCAGGTTTGCAATGCAGGAAGTGAAGAAGGGAAAAAAACAGCTTCAAAATGGGACGTGTGTGTCGGCGTTTATGTGCAAGTGTGTAAACACGGCGGCTGGTTTGTGTGTCCAAGCAGCTGCTAGCCTTCCCAGCAGACCTTGCTTTAAACAGCCTCAATTTGCCTGCTGAATCTCGTAATTGGGCCACCAGAGGAATCCTCTGTGAGACAGGCGAAGCACGGAGAAGACGGGTGGAGCGAGGAAGAAAAAGAGAGACAGAGACCAAAAGAGGGAGGGGCAGCTGGAGAGATGGCGAGTAAATGACAAGAGGGAGGGCTAGAGGGAGGAAGGACGGAGCAGCAGGGAGAGAAGAGGAGAAGCAAAGAGAGGGATGGTGACAGAAAAATGTCTACTCCTCTTTACAGCTTCATCAGCTGCCGAAGCTCGTCTCCATCAGACTTACACTTTCCTTTCAAGAAAGCGATGTGTTATATTCTTTCATGATCAATTAAATTAATAGGTTATTATGCGAGGAAGGAGGGGGACAGTTATCTTATTTGATTAAAAGAGTTCAGGTTCATTATTTTTTATAAGTCATTTTCATTAGCGGAGCTGAGATTTGGTTTCTTCGGGGGCTGAATTGAGCGGTTATTGTGCTGGGGCTCCGGAGCCCTGATGCAGAAGGTGTGCCCAGCACTCACACAGTAACATTAGTTAAAACTAAAGCCAATTAGTCCTGCTCAGTGAGGAGCGTTATGCTTTCCACCCAGTGACGATTACAGAGCATTATCCCCATGCGAAACAATACACCTGTCAGCAACGATGAGGCCCGTCAACTGAAGCAGAAGCAGGCGGAGCCTTTGATGGTGGCCAGAATGACTCTCAGATGACCCTTACCCCCTTGTCCCTTCTGCCCGGAAAACTGTTGGTTTCAGGCGAATATCACAACGTGGGATGTGGAGAGTATGGAATTTCTCTCCATCCTGCCCATTAGGAGTCTTTTTTTCTCAAATTGTTGGATGGAACGCTTGAATGAATGGATGCTTTTGGTATCAGCCTCGGCTGGAGACCCTTTGTCCCAGAATTCATTGCTGCAATCATTAAGCCCAAATTTGTTAACCTTCTGCTGAGAGGTCAAGATCCCTTCCCTCAACCCCAACTTCCACCCCCCACACCCTAAACTTCTTTTTTCTGGTGGATGAACCTTCACTATTAAGGAACAGTGGACGGGTGGAAAAAAGAAACGGGTTCTGATGGGGATTGAGTGCCCTCTTGTATTGTCCATGTGAATGTATGTCCCTGTTGATTTGGTCCCTATGGACACCCCCCACCCCCCCAGACTCTAGGAAATGAGACGTACAGCTCGATGTATTGATTGGCTTATTAAGAGAAAAACCCCATAAGCAGCGCTGTGCTCTTTCATGCACTCATAGCATTATTAGCCCCTTGACATGAGTTTCCTACAGTAATCAGTACACTCTTGTTAACCAGGGGTACGAACACCAAAGCCGCTACGCAACAGACGCTGGTGATGCCATCACAGATTAGTCACTACGATCACGAGAACAAAACAAAATTAAAGTTCAGCGGTGCAAACGCCTTTAGACCAACGCTGATGCCTTCATAGCTCCCTTCTAGTGAACAAGCGCTTCCTGTAATTTATAAAAATGTGTCTTGGTCAATAGTTCTTTGAACTTTCAGAAGATCTTTCAGAGTATTTTTTTCCTTCCTGAAAATAATATGCAGTTTGCGTCTAAAAAAAGAGAGGAGCCATGAGTTTACCTAAACCAGAAAGGAAATGTACCATCTTCCAGTTGATCACCGATTGTACGACAGGGTTTTAGCTGATATAGCTGATGTTTGTTTTTATCACTCAGTGTTGTTTTGTTCAAGCTTAGAAAAGATAAAAAAACTGTGTCTTTGTGACTAAATGGGTCGTTAGACTCTGTCTCACCTGTTTAAATGATGTTCTTTGAAAGTTTTCTGCTGAGTGGGAAGCTACTCTAATCACTCCTAGTTAGTTATTTGGCTTAATAACAGTAAATAATTCCTCTGGAAATGATTACTCATAAAGACGAGTCAATTGGGGGTGACAGTGGCACAGGAGTTAAGTGCTTGCCTCGTAATCGGAAGGTTGCAGGTTCGAGCCCCGCTCAGTCTGTCGCTGTTGTTGTGTCCTTGGGCAAGACACTTAACCCACGTTGCCTGCTGGTGGTGGTCGGAGGGACCGGTGGCGCCAGTGCTCGGCAGCCTCGCCTCTGTCAGTGCGCCCCAGGGCAGCTGTGGCTACATTGTAGCTCATCCCCACCAGTGTGTGAATGTGTGTGTGAATGGGTGAATGACTGATTTTGTTGTAAAGCGCCTTGAAGGGTTCCAGGACTCTAGAAGGCGCTATATCAAATACAGACCATTTACCAATAAACGACTAAAATTTGAAGAAACATTTAAAGGAACTCCAGAAATCCTGACCAGTTCACCAAACGAACAAAGAAACGAGAACGTCTGACACGGCCCTCGCTTGTCTCAGGACCAGCTGCTTTTTCTCTCCTTTGGTGAAAACTGACTGATGAGTGGAAAACAGGGAATGCCGTCATTGTTCTTCCACTCTGTGCTTGCCTGTGCTGTTGTCTGCTAATGGTCCTCCTGTGTATTTGTGTATGACACACACGTGAACGGGCCTGGGGCACTCTCTGATGACGGCAAACTTTGGGCCTCAACCCTCCCTCAGGTTTTGACAACAATGTCGACCGGTGGTGACTTTCCACCTGCTGGGATAGATGACTGCTGTTGTTGCTGTTAAAAAGAGGAACGCAGAGAAAAACGAGGATATAGATGGTATTTTATTTTTTTGTCTGAGCAGGTTTGGTGGCCTTCATCAGGTCGTTCTTTACAACAAACACAAGCATTTTACAGAAAAGTCTCAGGTCAGTTTTAGGTTTCCTTCTAGTCTGGATAAATTGACTATCCTAGAAACATTATGCACTCGACCTCGGTATCGCTTCAAGTCGATCGTGTGTGTTTGGTCTTTAAGTCCCTTCCTCCGGTTAAAGCAGCATTACTGTGGGTGTAGGATTAACTCACGCTGCTCTCACGCATCCACGCAGCGTGTAGAGTTCTGGCCCAGATACACACTGAGCTGACATACCTGGCGCTGCAGTCGGGTTCCAGCACATTTCCTGCATGTTTTAGATTGTGAACACAGCTGATTTGTTCAATTTAGTGATAAAATGGTGAATGGCCTGTATTTGATATGGCGCCTTCTAGAGTCCTGGAACCCCCCAAGGCACCCATTCACACACACATTCACACGCTGGTGGGGATGAGCTACGATTTAGCCACAGCTGCCCAGGGACGCACTGACAGAGGCGAGGCTGCCGAGTACTGGCGCCACCGGTCTCTCCGACCGCCACCAGAACACAAGGGGGGTTAAGTGTCTTGCCCAAGGACACAATGACAGCGACAGATTTAGTGGGGCTCGAACCTGCAAGCTTCTGATTAAGATTAATCACTCCTATAGACACTAAGGAGTGCTGGGGAGACATTTCAGCTTTTGCATTAAGGTGTTAAAAAGACGAACACACAGCGAGGAGGGGAGTTTTGCTGTCAGTTCTACTAAAAGGACACCAGGGGGTGCTAAAAGCAAGCCAAAACCACCACAGCTCGTTAGCACCATGCTACTGGATCATGACACACAAACTTGGTAGAACATTAGAAATTTCCTGTTGGAATCACACAGAATTAGTAGGACGACACTTCTGAAAATGCTTTAAACTGCGTGTGTCGTATGATGCAAATGCAAATGTTCTTTTCTGCAGTTTAGTCACACATTTTCTTACGGAGCTGCGTGATCAGCAACACATCCCAAAGTGGTTTCTTCTATCTGATGGAAACTAACTTGAGACTGGCCTGAAACTGGGTCCAGACATGAGAGGAGACTCTACGACTGGATTCAATTTTTTTTCTTTTGCAGATTAATTGAACATGTTTTCATTTCAAGCAACACAAGAAAAGTGACATCTATCATTATTGGAAACACGTTTTGCAGAACAATCTGTCACCAACAGTTGCAGCCCACCTGAGTTTAATAGTTTAATGCTGGTTATTGATCATTAACCAGTCTTATTTCCTCTCCTTTCAGAGCTGCAGGGGAATCATGTGTCTCACGGAGGCCTGTGGAGCTTGTAAACGGGACTCCCTGATTTTCCACTGATGATGAACGAACAAGAAAAAAGACACAAAACCGTTTTATTCGACCGGTGCCTGCAACATGGAAGCCTTCTTACAGTTTTTCAAAGAACCCAACAGAGATGAGAGCAGATAAGACGAGCCCCATCTCCCGACAGTCTCCTGCTTCTTCTCTGGTTGACACAAGACTCCATCCCCTTGCTGCACTAACCCCACCTGGATTCCTCCATCAACGTGATTGTGACTGACTCACTGGGACCTTTTGCCTGCTCAGTAAAATGTGGCACTCGGTGATCTGTTTTCAACTTTTTTTTTTTTTTGGCAAACAAAGTGACCCTGTGAGGAGCTTTCCACTCTTTGGGACGATGGGATTGGACCAAAGAGAACCCAATGTCTGTATCCGACAGGGCGCTAGCAGAGCAAAGGAGGCGCCCTTTAACAATATTGTGGATTGAGACCTGGAAAAGCAAATGAAAAGTATAAAACTATATCAGATTGGGACGTGAGTGAGGAAGAAAATATACTGTATACTGTTGTAAAGTTATGCTGGACTCTCACAACAACTGGGAATTCAAGTATTGTAAATGCTGTTGTATTGTTCTGCATATTATGTTGTTTCTAATAGATTTTTAAAAAAAGGATGTGAACCTTTTCTCTTTTTTCTGGTTTCTTTCCAAAGTGTGTGTGTGTGTGTGTGTGTGTGTGTGTGTGTGTGTGTGTGTGTGTGTGTGTGTGAACGCGCGCGCTTGTGTAACATCCACATGAAACCTGCCTTCCTGTTCACCTCTCCTCATTAAATGACATATTTTTCGAGAAAGATGTGAGTAAACATCGAGCTAATCTGTTTATTTTAACTTCTGAGGCCTGCAGGGGTCAGACATCCTGATTATGTTGTTGTTTTTGTTTGTATGTGTAACATACAGCACTCATCGCCTCCCTGTGTGCATGGGAGGTGCAGCTACTTGTGTTACTATTGGTTTGGCTGCACCTTGTACCTCCAATTTGGGTGATTAAAAAATAAAATAAAATTTCATATCAGTTTATTATCAAACCGTCCTCCACCAGTTTCAAACTTTTTTCGGTGCAGAAATTTTGCAGGTCATACACACCTTCTAATAGCAGGCATTTTTGATGGGCATGGTACTTCATTCTTTGTGTACTCATGAGAACAGCCAATCGACACAAAACATCTTAAATTTTTATGAAGTCACACCTGATGGGGGAGCTGCGAGCCACAAGCATGTTGTTTTCTATTTTTGCTTTTGAATCCATGTGTGTTGTGATTGAGGGCCTCTGAAAGTCTGTCCCAGTGTCTTATTGATGTGTTCATCACATGACTGAGCACTTGCATGGCCAATGGATTCTCTTCCCTTCACCATTTAATGCTTCCGGATATGAAGGAGAGGCAGAGGATTTGGGAAAACACCATCTATTCCGTTCATTTTCATTAAACCAGATGATGTAATGCTGATTAACGGACAGGAGAGAATGTAAAAGTGTGTGTGTGTGTGTGTGTGTGTGTGTGTGTGTGTGTGTGTGTGTGTGTGTGTGTGTGTGTGTGTGTGTGTGTGTGTGTGTGTGTGTGTTATCAATGCTTCCATTATCCATTGCTTCACACATGTAATACGCACATCTCTGAAATTCCTTTGAAGAGCTTCTTTTGCTTTTACTTTGAAGGGTATATATGTACATCTGTGTTGTAAATAAATACTTTTGTTCAAGTAACACAACTTTTAACTAGTCTCTAGTGATAGTGATATTCCTGCTCACAGAGCCGTGACGTACCTGCAGCGTGGATGGTGCTGCGTCAGGCGCAAACATGTGGGAACTTCAGTTGCTTTTCCCCCGCTGCTGGAGAAAATGTGCAGAAAATGCATGCGTTCTGCTGGGTTTACACACACACACACACACACACACACACACACACACACACACACACACACACACTAGGACGGGAATGGGAGAGGAGGGGGTGTCTGCAAAGAAATCCAGCCATCCTTCGTTTAGCATTAAAATTCATTTAAGTAAAATTGCCACAAACGTGTAAATGGGAAGATTAGTTCTCCCTCACGCCTTGTTGCCCGCAGTCAAAGGGCTCCGCTTGACGCGCAGCGCTCACGCAGCCGAGGCTGTCTGCGGGATTACACCGCGCTTCAGGACGGAAGGGCTGAGCTAACGAGACGAGGAGAGAGGAGAACCGAGCGACTGTTGTCTGATTAACACATTTCAGATAACAGCCCTGCTGCTGTATGTCAAAGCCACCGTCTCGTTTTCTCTCTCCAGACCAGCGAACAAGAGAGAGTCTGTTTAATCCATAACAGTATGGGCGTTATAAATCAATACCGTGTCTCCCCCCGGAGCAACTTTTGTGTTTTTATCGCTGTGGTCAGACTGAATGCTGTTTACGCACACAAAGAAGAAATAAATAAATAAATTTAAATAAAAAAAACGAGGTGACGTATTAATTGCTCCTCGCCTCTCCACCATGGCTTGCGGATCCGAGGCAGTGAATTCCTGAGCCCGTGGCCGCTGGGAGCGGTGGAAACACAGGAGAAAGCCCATGCATGACTGCCCTCTTTAGGGAGGCCGGGTAACTGTCCGCGGCATGAACGCTTGGAGACGGCGCGCACGCACAGCCGCACACGTCGCCTTTTTACGCACGGACGCAAAGCTCGTGCAATGTTTTAAAACTGTTTAATAAAAGCCAGGTAGATTGTGAATGTCAAAGGGGTTTTAAGGGTGTGAGAGAAAAAAGAAACGGCGATATTAAATATGTTTACAAAAACTATTTAATTTGATCATAATGAAAAGAAAGAACTCCAGGTCAGTTTTAGATTGTTGTATATCATGTGTGCCAGAGTGGTGGACACTTTACAAACTATCATCACATTTTTAGGTTTAGAAAAGTGCAAAAGCTTTAACACAAACACAGATGTGTAAAATAAATATTTCTATGATTTTCTATTTTATAAATTTCACAAAAATGTAAGGACTAAATTCTTGGATTTAAACAGAACCTTTCATTATGATGACCACTAAGAAAAAAGTCTAATGAAATATGAAAACTTTGATGTTTATTATTTCCGTTTGGGATATTTTCGTCCCATCTGACCTATATTTGAAACTCTTACTTGTAACTGGTGTTTTCTAATAAAACGCTTGAATATTTCGTTTTAACGTGGATAGTAAACAGTTGTCTGACCGCGGGGGTGAACTGTTACCGTAATGAATGGAGCAGAAATGTGTTCAGAGCTGCGGAGGTGTCCGCAGGCCTGTCCTTCTTCTGCAACGCAGGCAGGTTTTTACGCGTTTGTGAAATAACGTGGACGCGTACGCGCGCGCCTCTTGTTCCGTCCGACAGAACAAATCTCAGGATTGGCCACAGAACCACCTCGGCCTGTCTGATTAAACCAGCGGATCCAGTCTAAACGGTTTTTTTTCTGGAGTCTGTGGTAAAAATGCAGAAAATTCAAACTTCTTTTAATTAAATTATTTGAATGAAAATGTGCTTTTTACATTTTTTTCTACAGCCGTTACATTTTTAATTCAAATTATTTTAGGCCAGAAGGAAACTTGATGCGTTGTTTTATTTGATTTTACTCGTGATCTAAAAGCTACTTGCTGAATTTTATCTAAATAATGTAAATCAATTAATTCAATTATCACTAATAATGTGAGTTCATGTTCCAAATATGTATTTAATTGTAATTTTTCTTAGACTGGAATCCCGCAAAAACACAGGAACAATCCATTTTCTACAGTTTTAAAATAAAATAAAAATAAATAAAACACACTACAGGAATACACTTCAGAATAAAATACTTTATGAAATCGATGCTGACAGGAATACAAATGATATTTGGGCCTCAAAACCTCACAGAAAAAAAGTGCTTTGCACAAACCCCCAAATCGTCGCGTGGCAGCTGGTTTGAAACAATAGAAGGAGAAAAAAGGAGGAGAGAATGCAAAAAAAGGAAAAACAATCTGTTGGTCAAGAGAAAGAGAGCAAAAGAAGAGACTGTTGAGCGAGGGCCATTTTGGATGTCATCTGTCTCCTTGGCGACGGGGCCCCGGCCCTCAAAGCCCCTTGGGCGCACGGATTGTTTGAGAGGAGCCCGCTATTTTCTGCAGCATCATTTATCACTGTCACCACATAATGATTCCCCTCGCAGCTCCTTATTGATGTTTGTAATTGCATTATCTCATAAGGCGGAGGGACGGGGTGGGGGGCGGGGGTGGGGGGTGATCAATGGAGCCGAGAGGAGCATCGAGGGGTCAGGAGATGCTGGGCTGCTGTTTGTCCATTTAATGCAAGCAGGCTCTCATTATCTGCAGCTCTTCTGCGTTCCGAGCCCCGCGCTGGGTTTCTCTGAGGGGTAGTGGTGGAGAGGAAGGAAGGAGAAAAAACAGAAGCAGAGCAGTTTGTTTCATGTGTTTAACCCCTGATCACAAACAGATATGGTGGTGTGAGATCCAGTCTGATCGTTGGAGCACAGAACTTATTTGTTTGGCTTGTTGGAACTTTTGCAGAACGACCCTTTACTGGCTCCACATGAGTTTATTTAGAAGATAGGTCTGTCTCATCTTCATACACTGTCACGATATCTCATCACAGAGCACGTGACCTCTTAGAATTGGCAGAAAGTGTTTATTTGTGAACAAACTAGAGAGGAAGTGGAATTTCAGTTAATAAAGAAAGAAAAGGTTCCATCTGGGGTGACTGCTGCATTGATGGAACAATCAGCATGATGTAAAAGTATAAATATACAATAAAAGTTCAAGTATTTTGTATTTTAAAGATAACTGTCTGCTCGTTGATTGTGTGGTTTAGTTATTTTAAAAGGGTTCCAGTGTGATCTCCAAATTTCCTTTGAATGCGCCGTGCGTCATGACGCGCGAGGGTCATGTCACTGTGGCAGACCTGAGTGGACATGTGGGAGCCTCGGACACTCCAGCTGCTGATTGTTGACAAGCCTCCGCGTGACTGAGCGCGAGATGCCCCGTGGACGAGCGCTGTGTTCCTCTACTTCACAACTATGACCAGAGACTTCCGGTGCTGCTGGCCCTGCTCGGTGCTCCAGCTGCGGCTGGAAAAGCGCGGCTGGCGGCGCACCTTTCCAGCGGGAGACGGAAACCACGGCTGCTTCATAACCAGAGATGTTTCTGTCAGCACCTTCCTGGGTTTCCACCTCTCTCCCCTCCCGTTCCTCTGTCTCTCTCGCTCTCGCTCTCCCGCTCCCTCTCCCACTCTGGAAGGTCACCTTGGCAGCGCCAGGCACGAGAGCCAAAAGATCAGAGCAGGTTGAGTCAGCTTCTCACGGCCCACCTGGTGAAGTAGGTCCACACAGATACATTTATATATGTGGTTGGCTTTAAAGCAACGAATAAAATACTATATTATTATTATTTATTTATTTATTTATTTATTTATTTATTTATTTATTGCGTGTGTTTGGGCGCGGAGGTGGTTCTGCTGCACCAGAACCAGAACCGAGCGGCTGCTGGACCAGTCCCTCCCATAGCCGCAGTAGCAAGTCGGAACAAGACAGCAGGACCGGATTCCAGTTGCAGAAACAGACACAGACTTGGCTCCGGGCAAACACAACTACTTTTCAGTCCAGTCTGGCTGCTGATCTGAAATGTTTTGGTTGTTTCTCGGAATCTTTCAGAACCACAAGAGTTGACGGACAGTCTGGAGAGTCTGGTGCTGCTGATGCTGACGGACTATGAAGAAGAGACAGTCTAGATAGACATGAAATGCAAGATGGACCTTCCATCTAATCAGTTTACCCCCCCCCCCCCCCCCACACACACACACACACACTCACACACATATTCATCATCAGCCTCACACCAGAAGAGAAATGTCAGCTCCTTGCGCTCTCACCCTGTCAGCCGCGTTCCGCCCTCCGTGAACATCTCAGCAGTTGTTTTCTACTTTCTTCTTCTCCTCCACTACAAATGCTATCACCAACGTGTGTGTGTGTGTGTGGGGGGGGGGGGGGGGTGAAAGCATCGTTGACCTCGTCATTTAAATGTAACCCCAATTCGGATTTAATTAGTGAAGGTTGACAAATTATTAAGTTTAACAGACACGTGAAGTGGGAGGCTATTTTTGCTCTTTTTAAATAGATAAACCCTTTTTTTTACACTTTTCTCTAATTGGGCAGAATTAAAAGTTTGATGACTAAAAGTTTATTTGAGTTTTTCAAAGTAAAAGCTTCTCAGAGTGAAAAATCTAAAACTCCATTTTTGTGTCAAAACGTTCTTTGAAAAGTTGTTCTGTCAGGTGCTCCATAATTATCATTTATTATTTTTTTATTCACTATTATTACCCTTCATTAACAAAATAAGGCACAAGAAAAAAGTTCACACATTTCTATCATTTTCTTTAGATTTTCTATTTAAAAATCTATAATCCTGAGTGAAACATCCTGTTTTGTGATGCTTCCACAGGAGATCACCATTGCATCAACTACAGGTAAAACAGTAAAAGTCCATTTATATCAGAAATCCACCTTAGACTAAGAAACCATCTAAAGGCTCAGGAACCCTTTGCATGTGTTTTGGGTTCGTTAGCTGATTAGAGAAGGACACTTTGAGTCTAGAAAATGGAACCTTTTCACAATATTCTGATTGTCTGAGATTTTGGATTTGAGGTTTTCAGAAGTTGGAAGCCAGGATGATTTAAGTCTGGTCCTGCAGAGCTGGTATCCAGCACATTTTAGTTTTAACCC